AGGTAGGAGTGGTTTCCCTATGGCCTGAGATCAAATGGAGCCTTCTGTGCTCCAGTCATGTACAAAGGGAACGGGAGGTTAGCAGGGATACAGCAATAGGATGCCTTTCTTTTCATAAGATGGAATTCTCCGCAAAGGTAGATATAGTGGAAATTCAACAGGAAGACTTATTGACAGCAGCTGCCACTATCTCAGTCACACAGGCAACCCCTTGAATGCTTGTAGTAAGCAGGAGAGAAATATTGGTTCTTCACAGGGAGGGAAAACGAGATTTGCCAGATGACAAGAAGGGGTGATGATAAGGTATCAAGTCTCCCAGTTCTGTCTTGTTCAGAGATTTTCCATGGAACTCTGTTGCCCTCTGGAGGTTTATTAATGCACTCGCAGCACTATGACTAGCAGTTAACTTCATTTAAAGTCAGTTAAACTTTTCATGCAAAAACAATTCAGAACACTAAGTCTTTACAAATGTTTGGACAGGTGATCCAAAATTCAGAATCTTTGTTGTCAAGGGTGGTTTGTGTGGTAGAAGGGTAAGATGTGAGGGGGAAATTGAAATAAAGGTTTGGGAGACACTTAGCATTATATAATTTAGTATTACACTGGATATTCTTTAAGAAATCATATTTTTAGGGATGTATCTAGGCCAAAAATATTACTCTGGGATGAGCAAAGGTCAAGAATTTTGGAAAAACAAAAACAAACTAAAGTTTTTAAGATGGTTATTACAGATGTATTAACTTTTTAGTATTTCTTTTCTTTTCTTTTCTTTTCTTTTCTTTTCTTTTCTTTTCTTTTCTTTTCTCAACATCAAGGCTACATCTACACTGGCAGCTTCTTCCGAATGAACAGCCATTCTTCCACAAAAACTTGATGGCTGTCTACACTGCACGAGCGTTCTTCCAGAAGTAAATTTACAGTATAGCGTTGTAAAACAGGGCTTCTTCTGGAAGAGTTATTCCTCTCCCCACGAGGAATAAGCCCTCTTGCACAAGAGCTCTTCCAGAAGAGGGCAGTGTAGACAGGCAACATGAATTTCTTGCGCAAGAAGCCCCTATGGTTAAAATGGACATCAGAGCTTTCTTGCGGAAGAGAGCGTCTACACTGGCATGGATGCTCTTGCGCAAAAGCACATCTCTTGCGCAAAAGCACATGCCAGTGCAGACGCTCTCTTCTGGAAGAGTTTTTGCACAAGAACTCTTCCGCAAAAGAGTTTTTCCGGAAGAAGCTGCCAGTGTAGACGTAGCCCGAATGAATGGCTGTCTTCTGTCATGAAATCTGTGTGTGGTAGCTGTCAATCAATAAAAACACTCCCATTCTTACATAGTGCTTTTCATCAGTAATCTCAAAGCCCTTTACAAAAATTAAATCGTATATCCCCATTTTGCAGATGAAGAAACCAAGGTACAAAGTGTTGAAGTAAGTTGCCCAAGGTCATCTATCAGGCCTAAAAAAAGACCCAGTCCAGTGCTGTATCCTTTAGCAAAATGCAGGACAATGTAGCACTTTAAAGACTAACAAGATGGTTTATTAGATGATGAGCTTTCATGGGCCAGACCCACTTCCTCAGATCAAATAGTGGAAGAAAATAGTCACAACCATATATACCAAAGGATACAATTAAAAAAATGAACACACATGAAAAGGACAAATCACATTTCAGAACAGGAGGGGGATGCGGGGGGAGGGGGGGAGGAAGGAAGGTAAGTGTCTGTGAATTGATGATATTAGAGGTGGGGAGAGTGGGATGTTTGTGAGCTAATGGTATTAGAGGTGATAATTGGGGAAGCTATCTTGGTAATGGGTAAGATAGTTTGAGTGTTTGTTCATTCCTTCTCGGAGAGTGTCGAATTTTAACATGAATGACAGTTCAGAGGATTCCCTTTCAAGTGCAGATGTAAAAGGTCTTTGTAGCAGAATGCAGGTGGTTAAGTCATTGAGAGAGTGTCCTTTCTGGTTAAAATGGCAAGAAACTGTTTTTTCTTTGTGATCTTGTATCCTTTAGGATATTCTGCCACTCTGTACAAGCTACTTTACAGTTTTGATTGAAACATGAATTAGGGCACATGAAGAAAAATGTGGGACTACTGAAAAGGATGTAACTGTTTGCATTATAGGCTCATACACTGACCCTTAAGTACTATGATATTACAAATAAATTACAATAATATTAGCCATGCTGTCCACCATAACAAACGAAAAGGCAAGATTTATCCAATTTGCAGCCTGATCCTTCACTCTGCCCAGCATCATATATATCAAAATATTCCCGAAGAGCTTAATGGCCAAAAGAAAGTCCCCACCATCCAGCATGATCTCAATGACTCATTCAAGTCTACAGGAAACAGTCAAGGATGAAAACACTATGGAGCATGCATCTTACAACCAAAATTCCCTTCCACTCAAATGTGACAAGCCAGGTTTTGAGTTCTCTCTTGTTTGCCAATTTCAATCAGACCTTTAAAATTTTAGGTGCCTTTAAAATTTGAGAGAAAAGCCTGGGATGCTCAGAACCCTATGTGGAAACAGGAAATCCAGTCATTGCCAAATTGCTCTGCTCTGCTTTGAGGCTAAGATTCACCTTATCCCAACCTCCATCTCTCCACAAAGACCTTCACATTCTGGTCACAGATGGGAAGCTGTGATTCTTTGGAGACAGAGGATGAGTCTTCTGCAGCATGAACTTTGCTCTAGCTGGTGAATAGATGGAAAAAACACAAGAGAACAATTAAAGAATTTAAATCATGCAGAAGATGGCACAAAAGGAAGTCAAGGCCATTTCAGAATGCCCTTGGAGTTTATACAGCCAATACTTTAGAGATGTTTAAATGACTAGGAACATCAGCATTTCAAGAGTTGGGTCAGGGCAACTATGCCAGTTTGCCAGGCTAGAAAGCAGGCTCTGACAGTTCCTATCACACTTCTAGGCTATGTCTACACTCGCGGCTTCTTGCGCAAGAAGTCGCCAGTGTAGACAAAGCCCTAGAGGGAATGCTTTCACTACTAAAAACTGAAAAGGCGCTATGCCTATTTTGCAGAGGGATTGAGTCTGTTGACTTAATAGAGACCTCTTCCTTCTCACCACCCTCTCTCATACGGATTGGGCAAGAGCCAGAGATGGGTCTGTCAGGTTTGCGAGGGTTCCTCCCATTTGCTGAATACGGAGAGGTCTACCATGCTGTGTTGGTTTTGGGGGAGCAAGGAAGGAGCTGACTGGAAAGGGGCTGACCTAGTTCAGTGTATGTGTGGTAGGGATGTGAGGGTATGTTTACACTACCCCGCTAATTCGAACTAGCGGGGTAATGTAGGCATACCGCAATTGCAAATGAAGCCCGGGATTTGAATTTCCCGGGCTTCATTTGCATAAACCGGGCGCCACCATTTTTAAATCCTGGCTGGTTCGAACCCCGTGCCGCGTGTAGCCACGCAGCACGAACCAGCCGGGATTTAAAAATGGCGGCGCCCGGCTTATGCAAATGAAGCCTGGGAAATTCCAATTCCGGGCTTCATTTGCAATTGCGGTATGACTACATTACCCCGCTAGTTCGAATTAGTGGGGTAGTGTAGACATACCCTAAGAGTTTAACTGGTTAACCAATAAGGTGATGCTTATCTGTTCCTGTTAACAGTTAAACTCTGCTAGGGAGCACAGGGCTGACAGCCCATGAGACTGGCAGTCAGTAGCGCTGAGGGCCAGCAAAGGTGAGTCCATGGGGCTGGAAGTCCTCAAGACCAGTGGGGCAGGGAGCCCATGGGGCCAGTCGCCGAAGACTATGGAGTCAGAAGCCTGTGGGGCCAGCAGCCAGGAGCCTTCCAGCACCCTTCCTTCCCTACATCCCCAGGTAAAATGTTTAACTGTACAATCAATAGAATTTTGATTGGTTACATGGTTACTATGTTTTTATATCCCTAGTGTGTGGAGGGTTGTAGTGGTATGAAGTGTGTTGAGTTTGAAAGGGGCATTTCCCACTCAGTGAGGCCAGGGGGAATGGGGTAAGCTGGATATAGGGGGAACTTCCCCAGTGTGTGATTCTGAGGGAACCTGGAGGGTATGCGGAGTGCAGGGGTCTCCCATTCTATGGGGATAGCAGGCGTGTGGGAAGTAGGGTGTGGAGGGGAATTTCCTTCTCTGCAAGGTTGGGAGAGATAAATGTGGGAGACAGGGTGAGCTGGGTGCATGGAGATCTTCCCCACTCTGTGGGGCCAGAGAGGAATGATACCGGAAGGAACAGGGTGCAGGGGTAGGATCCCCACAGGGTAGGGCCAGGCATGGAGGGGGGGCATCCCATGCTCATTGTGGCCAGGATGCAGGAGGGACTGGACAGGATACTGGGAGCTCCCTGCTCAGAAGGGCCCAGATGCAGGAGGAGTTCCCCGCTTGGTGGGGCTAGAGCCGTGCAGGGGTGGACACCCAGCGTGGTAACGCCAGCGGGGGGGCGCCTTGCCTGGAGAGGCTTGGGAAAAGGGGGCATCTCTACTAGGTGAGGCCAGGAGGTTGTGGGGATACGGTGGGAACAGAAGGGGGGGCGGGCTTCCCCGTGGGGCCCGCGGACGTGCAGGGAGAACTCCCCGCTCTGAGGGTGCAGAGGAGGCTCCCGGCTCAGTGGAGCCTGAGGGGTGCAGGGACGGAGGCAGGGGCGCCGGGTTTCCCGTGGGCCCGGAGGGAGCGCGGGGGGCGGGGACGCCCATGCGGGGCGGGCTCAGTGACTCGGCGGCGGCGCAGAGCGGACGCGGCGGGCAGGAGCGCGGAGGACGCGGCGGCATTGCCGGGTGAGGCCGGGCGGACAGGCCCTGCTCTCGCTCGCCCCCTTCTCCCGGGCTGGTCTCGCCTACCTGCCGGCCGCGCTATAGCGCCCGGCTTCCTGGGCCCGGCTCCCGCTGCCGGCGAGCCCCTGCGGGCGGGGGGCTGCAGCGGGGTGGGCTCGTGGCGTGACTCTGAGCCTGCCCGTGCCCTGCTGCGTGGGTTTATGGGGGGGGGAGCCCAGGGCTGCCAACTTTGCCGACCGGGCACCTTTTGCAGCAATGGCGTCCGGTCCGTTCGGTCGGGAAAGTTGGCAACCGAAAGCCGGGCCTAATCTGAAGTTGGGATCTTGTTTGCTCCCCTGACGGTAAGGCCGTGGCCACCTGGGGGCGTGCAATGAGTGTGAGGGGCGCTAAGTGATCCACCAAAGTCCTCCCCCTGGATTTAGTTTTTAGGGGAAGATACAAATATTGGGTTACAAAATGGGAATCGCTGACTTGGGAATGCCAGATGCCAACTCAGGGGTGCCCTTAAGTACAAGACAGATGGTTCTACTAGCCCCGTTTTATCCCAATCCTCGACATTTGGGCTGGGAAGTTGGGCAAAATGGTTCTGGATTTGGGTCCTCTGGAGCAAAACCATGCTCTAGTGCAGTGTTTCCCAAATGGTGTTCCGCGGAAGTGAAAATACGGGTTCCGCGAGAAAATTCCATTACAATAACTACTCAGCACTGTGTGCCAGACAGTCAGTGGTGCAGTTGCCTGTTATATATCACGTAAGGGGTTCTGCAAAATTCTTTCGAGTTTAAAAGGGTTCCGTGGCCAAATAACATTGGGAAACACTGCTCCAGTGGGATCCAGGAGACCTGGCCTTTGGGCGTCAGGATGCAGGACTGGTAGGACTGTATAATCTGTTGCATGTGACACAATAACAGTTTCAAGCAGTGTGAAACTATGAATGGCATAAAAGCCTGTAAATAGCAACATGTGTGTGTAGCCTAAGTTACTAAAGAGGGTAATGTCAATTCACTTCTGAGTCAGATACACTCCGACATCACATGTTCATGATTATTTATATACAGCTGCACCAGTTGCTTACATCTATGGGCATATTTATGCCATTAAAACAACACTGATATTTTAAATTTAATTAAAATATTAAGCCTTTTTATGACTCTTAGTTAATGTTTTATATCTAATACTAGTATATTATTTTACTCAGCATTTAAGACTTCTGCCATGGCAGCAAAATCTATTGTGACTTCAAAGCAGAAGGAGGAGGTGGTGAGGGGAATCCTAACAGAGGTGGTATGCACAGCCTTCTCCAACTCCATTCTTGTGGTGGTGACGCAGTATGGGAAGATGGGGACGCTTGTCTCTGTGGACCCCAGCACAGTAGCCAGTGATATCAGCAAACCGTCACTCACCACGAAAGTGCTGCTGGGCACGGATGAGGTATGTGGCCCTGAATATTGAGGGGGAATCTCTTACTGGCTCAGAATTTGAGCCTGCTTGGGCTGCCAAGCAGCTGATGTGCAGTTGTGCAGTGGTAAGATTAAAAAATCCTGTACTAAGAGGGGTGTAGTTCATCAGTACATTTTGGGTATTCATGTTAAAGGTATGTTTAACATAACAAATGTCTAATTAAATCTACACTGAAAGCGTATAAGGGTTCTGTCACTTCATACTCGGTTATTTTTATGGAGCTTTGCCATTCCCATTGACTTCAGTGGTGCTGGAACAAACATAATGGCCTTCACTATCCTTTCTCCAGTGCTTGTCACAGTATTTTTCCCCCATCCGAGCACTTTTTCTCCCCACTTTTACCTCTTCCAAAATCAACTTTGGTACCCCTTCCCTCAACTGTGCTTACCACCAGTTTCCTTAGATAAGACAGTTATCCAATTCATTTTAATTTAAAATGAGTTCTCAATTACTATTTTTCAGAAACAAGAGAAAACAATAATAAATTTTGGATCAGATAGGCACTAAATACAAAGTTACAGTATACTGCAAGTTTACCTAGTTTTACAGTGCTGTAGTAGAACTATCTAGTGTTGCTTGCTAATCCCAAACAGAAAAAAAAACAAACTCAGCAATGTGACAGGTTGCTCATCCTTTTAGCAGCTGGTCTTTGTGTAGCCCTCACCCTTCAATAATAAGCTCTCTTTCCTTCATGTGGGATGTGTCTGCCTGTAGACAGGATGGTTACAGCGTTGGTGTGATGTGCGCTTGTCAACATGGAACAGAAAAGCATATTCAGTTTCTGATACTTATGTTAATCAGTGGCACTTCCTGTTTACATATGGGAGAAATTATTTCCCCAGATCTTGCGTAGGTGTCCATTGTCTGCTTCTTTGTATTATATGTTAATTAATTAATTAATGTAAACAACCTTGAGGAAATACTTCCAGCCCAGCCTTTTTTGGTGATGCATGCTGCCAAAAACCGCAAATCAGTTCTGAAACAAACTCAAACAAAAATAAACTTTAGATCAATATATGTGGCAAGATGGATGTGCCAAAAGGCATATTTTTAGAGAAGCCCTAATTAAAAGGGGTTATATCCCTTCTTTCCTGCTAATGCTTCACTTTTTTAAAAAATTACATTAGTCTATAAAATCACCCTGTAGCTTTAACCATCAGCTATGATAACATTTCTAAAACTGTGGTGAATGTAAAGATTTGGCTGTCTTTTCCCAGACCTTGCAAGAGTCAAAAATACCTTTGTGAGTTACAGTTTATTAAAGGAAAGTATGATTTAGTGACTTCTTAAGAAGTTTGGCTCTGGTGGTAATGTTCATCTTGAGGCTGTGACTTAATACAATTGGATGTTTGGTGATGTGAGAAGTCCTGATGTAACAGTTTGGGTGATGGGACCTGCAACAATAAAGACTCTACACTGAGCTTCAGAGCTCTCTGAACTGGTGCAAACCTGGTTAAAGCTTTAACTAAAATATTTTATTTGGCATATGATTGGCTAACATTTATGGAGCCAATCTGTTTAAAACATACTTTCTAAAATGGCTACATTGATTAACCAGATCTGTAGTATAGCCTTGAATCATGTCTAAACTATTCAACAAGTTTCAGTCCAGTATAGATAAGTCCTTAATATACCTAATTTACTTAGTAAAAAGATACCCCAGGAGCATTCCCTTAGTAGCAAATGAAATATTCTCTCAACTGAACGATTGTCTTTGCTTTTCAGCCTCTCATCCATGTTTGTGCTAAAAACCTGGTGACATTTGTGTCTCAAGAAGCTGGGAACAAACCTGTTCTCCTGGCTATGGCTTTGAAGGACAAGAGCATGGAAGGAATAAAAGCACTGCAGGAGATGATCCGAAGTTGCCAAGTGTGGTGAGGCTCTGCTTTCTGGCAGCAAGGAAGGAAGTAACCCACCACTGCTTATTTAAAAAGACAAAACATGCCTTTATGCTGGTTTTGGATCCTGTTGAGGATTTCATGAATTTTCTCTACCATGTAGAACATTAGAAGATTTGGGTTTGGAATCCATGCAGCTAACAGTGAAGTAAAAACATTTTTCTGAACACAAAATGAAAATTCATTTCCATCACATTGCGTGATGGATGTATTTTTGTAAAACCGCATGTGGGTTTGCAGCAGGGTCTAGAGAAGTGAATGGCTTCAAGCAATGTAACAGTGAAAAGCTGTGCTGTAAAGTGTAAAATCAGATGCAGAATGAATAAAAATACTAATTGGAAAATGCTTAATATTACCAGTTTTTCCCCATGATAACCAGTTTAAATTAAATATTTGGAGTCAGAATCAAATCAGTGGGAATTATGCCGTTACAATAGGGAAATCTGTGAGAGAGTTAATACCTTTGTGGGGTACCCTATCTTCAGTCACTAAAGAAAATCACACTTGTCTGAAATACTGCACCTTAGTGCCAGGTAACACTTAACATTGCTGTTGCTGAAAGAAATAATAAAATCAAAATATTGTATCTTTTTTTTTCCAGTTTGTTTATTTTGTGATGGTGAGCTTCACTGAATAGGTCGCGTTGTGAGAGAGTTAATACCTTTGTGGGGTACCCTATCTTCAGTCACTAAAGAAAATCACACTTGTCTGAAATACTGCACCTTAGTGCCAGGTAACACTTAACATTGCTGTTGCTGAAAGAAATAATAAAATCAAAATATTGTATCTTTTTTTTTCCAGTTTGTTTATTTTGTGATGGTGAGCTTCACTGAATAGGTCGCGTTCTGATTCTGCAGTTGAATATTCACTGGTGAATGCTTGTGTTTGCCTGAAGTTCCACTGACTTCCGTAGAGCTCTACACATGCACAAGGGTCCATTTACATAGATCAGTTGCAAGATAGTCCGTTTCTCCCTTAAAAACATCAATAGAGGAGTAGGAAAAATATTATACATTTTAAATATATTTTTTTCAAATATCAGAATATACTATAAAAAGGATTGTGTGTCAGAAAGTGTAATTTTAGGTTAGGTTAAAAAGCTCCAGGTTTGTACTTACGAGAAATTCAGTTAAGTGTATTTTTCAGAATTATATTTCCCAGGGCCACAGTGTTTGCATCTGTGTCAGCATCATGAGGAGTCCCCCTCACATTTTACATTCTCTTGCTATTATTCTTCTGGCCAAGGAGAGCTGGAAGACCTGTTGAAGTCTGTCAATGTTTTTACTATATGGACTTAAGGATTTTCACTGAAAAATACAAAATCATTTCCCAGTTCCTTGTACAGAACAGTGTGTGTCTACTGCACTGAGAGCCTCTGTCAGCTCAGGGAATAAGACATCATGCAAATTGAACCTGAATGTCATGCCTGCCTTGACAATACAAAATACTACTGCTGTACCCTGAAGAGTATGAGTTCCAGCTCTTTAAAAGCTGTGAGGCTCCAACCACTATAGTGTAGGACCGTGGTCACCAACCAGTAGATCGCGATCTACCGGTAGATCTCGGGGGCTCTAAGAGTAGCTCTTGAGCCCTCTCTGAACTGCGCGCCTGCACAGTACATTTACATTAGATTTCCTCATTTGAGGAGCAGCTACTCACCAAGCAAGAGCACAGGTGAGTAGCTGCGAGGAATGGTGGGAATTTTTTTTTAAAGTAGCAGTATAAGGATTGGGGATAGCAAGTGATGGAAAAGAGGAGAATAGAGAGGGCGGGGCTTCAAGGAAGGGGCGGGGTGGTAGATCTTGGCTTGGTCTGTCATTTAAAAAGTGATCTTGGGTGTAAAAAAGTTGGGAGACCACTGGTGTCAGATATTAAGAGATGCTGTTTGTCACCACTTCTACACCTCTTCAGGCAGACAGGGAAGCTGGAAGCCAAGAGGCTGGTCCTTTAAGCTGCAGTCAGCTAAGCTGGTATATTATTGCCCCCATGCCTGTTTAAAGTTAGAGACAGGTGTGAAAATAAGTTCTTCAGCTGCCTTTGGGATTTTATGCACAGCTCTGACTCAAAGGGGAGATGCCCCAATAAAACAGAACTAAAGCCCTGGAGCTTTCTGCAAGGCCAAGCTACTTGCTTATCATTCCATTCCCCATGGGGCTCAAATGCTTTTCCAAACCCCAAACTGATTACAACTTTCCCCAGCCCTGTTGCCACGCCTACAGAATGAACTTTGTGCTTATTTGCTGGCCCCTGTGCAAGTGGCGCTTCCGCTTGGTTTCCTAGGTAGTAGCCAGAGCCAGACACGATTGGCCAGTTACAGTGCGCTGATCTACTACAAGAGCCCCAACTGTTGCAAGCGTGGGAACAATGGCAGGTGCAGTCCGAGGCTGGGTGTAGGAACCGCGGGGCCGGGCGGGGATTGTGGTTGCACGGGGGATGGAGGCAGCGCGGAGGCAGGAGTGAAATCCAACAGAGGGCAGAGTGGAAGGTAAGTTCTGCAGCTCTTTAAAGAGGCGTCTGGAAGCCCAGCCCGGAGCGGGGAGATGAGGGGAAGGCAGGCGGCAGCTGTGGGCTGCAGGCACCTGGAGGGCGGGGACCCCGCTGAACTTCCCCGAAAGCGCAGCGGGCTCGGCCGGAGAGGGGGCGGTGACAGGCTCCGGGGAGGAGTCTCCGGGAGCAGGTAGGTGGAGGTGCCGGGGAGGCAAGTTCCCGGGGGCCCTACGGGGTGAGTCGGAAGCGCATCGGTTCCCGGAGCAAGACGCTGGGCGGGCGCGAGGGAGCTCGGGCGGGGTAAGTGGAGGCAGCCAGGCCCGGGGGGAGTCCTGGAGGGGTGGGAGCAGCAAACCTGGTGAGTCCCTTCCGAGGAGTCTCCGGGAGCAGGTAGGTGGAGGTGCCGGGGAGGCAAGTTCCCGGGGGCCCTACGGGGTGAGTCGGAAGCGCATCGGTTCCCGGAGCAAGACGCTGGGCGGGCGCGAGGGAGCTCGGGCGGGGTAAGTGGAGGCAGCCAGGCCCGGGGGGAGTCCTGGAGGGGTGGGAGCAGCAAACCTGGTGAGTCCCTTCCCCCTCCCGGATCTAGCGCGCAGCGCGGAGGGAAGCGCCGACCCAGGGCAGTGCAGGCTGGTAGGGGTCACGGAGAGCCATGGAAAGGGGGACACAGATCCTTCCCCCCCC